CTGACCAGTTATCAGTTTCCTAAATCTAGTGGATCCACAGATAATCATAATGTCGATCTTTCACAAGTGAAAACCATCCAAAAATATTTCACAGACTGTTCTTCCTCTCACTAAATCAGAAATTAGAAATTCCTAAGATGGTCCCTGAACGAGGATTCTCGTCGGTACAAAATATTTATCTGAATGCGAAGATAAGGTGCTAACATGACACAGACTCGACCCTACATAGAACAGCACAAAAACATCCCGTACAAAGAAGCATTCTTCTTTTTACTTCTGTTAAATGTTTCTGGGTTGCATTTCGCAAGATAGCTACATCGTATATAAAAATCATATCCAATTTATCCTCATCTAATAAAAAGAACGTTAAAATTTTATATCTTCTAACTCCACTGACAAAGCGAACATAAAATAAAAAAAAAACATCCACATTTTTCCGCAATGGAATATATTTCAAAGAACTAAAAAGAAAATATTTCCTTTGATCGTTTAAGGATTTTAGATAAAACATTTTTTTTATTAATGCAAGCATTAATTTGTTTTTATCATCAGTTTTTTCGCTAGTCCTGCCGTCTTCCATACTCGCAATTCGCGGCACTCAACGTTCAAACCCGGGTATGATAAGAAATTATTTTAATCCATATGCCTTATCTTTTTTTATTTTTTTTCTCTAAATACTTGGAAATTGAAGAAACCAAATTTGTTACGGGGAAGGCACAGTATAGCGGCTCGGATTGAGGAATCAGAGGGCCAAGTTCGAATTCCACCCGAATCCATTACATTCACTTACGTGCTAATACCCTTGGGAAAGGTATGTGATAAAAATGTGCATAGATTTAAGGTATGCTATATTTATTAGTAAAATTTCTCAATGGGTCATCATCCATCTTTGTAATTTTTTTCCCATCCATTTACTAAAATTCGTTATATAGCTCTTGCTGTTTCTTTCAACTTCTCTTACATTCAATACGCCCTGTGAGCGTTAAATTCTCTAGGCCTTCATTTCCCATTACGTGTACCAGATAATATTGTTGTCACTTTCTGATTGTAAGCATCAGTTACGTTCTAGTTCTTATTTTGCTTATACGTTCTTCATTGCACAAACACGCCCATAACTGCAGAAACGCATATACGCACCGATATGCAGGTCTTTTATTTATATATATACATATATATATATATATATATACCCTACATTTATATGCACACACACATATATATATATATATATATATATATATAGATAGATAGATAGGGTATATATATATACCCTACATTGACTGCACAACTCGGAATTTCATGCCTCTGCATGCGGACTGTTTTTGGTTAACAACGTTTTTTAACATTTCTGGTTATCGCGAGATATTTTATTGTGAGGGTGGATTATTATGATTGCTAATTATTTAAATGAATTGTAATTTAATTTTGCATTTGATTTTAAGCCCAGATTAACATTTAAGTTTGAAATAAGTTTGGAAGTAAGAATTCTAAATTCTAAATTAGAAACAGACGCTGTTGTTAGTGAAAGGAAAAACGTTTCGAAGTCAAGGGAGGTAACTCTATTATTCCAGGAAAATCGGTAAAGAAATTAATAATACTATTAATATTAATAAACTTAATAAAAGTAGTGATATTAATAATAATAATAAATTATGCAATGATAAAATAAAACTAATATACTAAAAATAATACATATCTATGAAAATAAAATAAAATAAGATAAAAATTAAAATAAAAACATATAAATAACAACATTTAAAGATGTAAATAAATAAGAATAAATAAATAAATAAATATGAACAATCCTAATCTCTTAAACAATCGAAGTTAGCCAATGAGCACTTGCCGACCTAGAACCAAATTTCTACTCAAACAGGTTGACCCAGATTAATAGTCTAGCCGGGCCACGGTGCAACAAATATTAGCAATGATATTTATTTTTATTAATATTTTTACTATATTTTTTCCACATTTTTTTTACTATCTTTACTATCTAACTATTGTTATTATTAGACTATAATACATTTAACATTTTGCTAATATATTATTTTCAATATCTTATTACATTTTAATATATAAGCATTATTATTGTATTGTATTTGACTAAATTCTCTGTCATTTTTAATGGCTGGTTTTTGAGGTATTTGGAATTTACGAAAATGAACAGACTGAAGTTAGGATGCAGATTAAACTAATATTAATTTAAGACGCCCGAAATCCAATAATAACTATTTTCTTTTTGTATGAGTAAAGGGCAGGATCTAACAAATGCTGGAAACCAGAAAATAACGAAGCTATTGAGTAAGTGAATGTCCACATTAAAGTTATCAGAGGCGCTTTGCAGAGACAATCAAACAATAAAAAAGACTGTAGAAAATACAAGAATTTTCACGGGCGTATTTCGAATGACGTTTGATGGACATGAACCTGATGGATGGGCTAAAGGATGGACTTCATCCAATTCAAACCTGCCTGTGGCTAAAAGAAGACAACAACGGGGTGGTAGTATTATGATATAGGATGGAATTGTCGATCAAACCATTATTGGACCATTCAAAGTCGATGAATGGTTTAATTTGAACAGTGCTACCTATTGCAATTTTATGAGAAAGATTTTCTTTGCATGGTACAAGTTCCAGTCTCGCAGTTTCAAAGTGAAGTGTGTATTTATGTGCGACAATATTCCTTCTCGTGTATCTAAGCTTACCCGTGAATTCTTTGAGCATAGAAAATTTACAGGAGAGAAGATAATGGAATGGTCACTATCAAGTCCTGATCTGAATCCGATCGAAAATCTATGGTTAATTGTGACGATGAATCTATATGAAGGTGACAAACAATATAACAGCAAAGCAGACATATTGGAAGGAATTAAAACTACCATATCGGAAATTGAACCTGCTGAAGTAAAGAAAATTGAGAAAAAAAAATGATAATAGATGTCTAACTTATTGACAAGAAGGGTCACTATATTAAAATGTAAAGAATGTAAAGACATATATGTGTTATTTGTTCTATTATGGGTGTTGAACAATTTTGATGATTTTATTACCTTTTTATTGAAGTAAAATATGATTATTTGGTTATTACCTAATAACTTCAGACGGCAGTCATATAGAATACATAAAATAACTTCAATAAAACATTGATACTACATAAACTTTTAACTTTTTGACGTCCAAATTGATTGTTTAAAATTTTACGATTTTTTTTCAAACCAAATTTGAATTATTGAATTTTATATGATCTGCTTAATAGCTTCAGACAGGGTATAGATAGGTAGATATAAATTAAATTTTTGTGTATGTGCTATGAAAGTTAATATACACACACAAAAACAAAAACACAAAACACACACACACACACACACACATATATATATATATATATATATATATATATATATATATATTATAGTAAAGGTAATAAATCCGTTGGTATATAATCCAAGTGGATCCTAGTAATATAAAATATTAAAACTGAACCAATATAAAAGCTCAATGTATTTATTATTACAGAGCAAATAATTAGCACACAATAAAATCCAAAATGACCTCATATTGTGAATAGGATTATTTCACCCGAAGAGATTCGTCAGTTCTGTTCAACCTCGGTATAGACTGTGCTCGTGTCCTTTTCAACTCAAAACTCAGTCTGTACCGGGGTTGAATAAGTATAATGAATATCGTCGGTTGAATTAAGTTGAATTAAGTTGAATTAATTCCCCATATGAGGTAATTTGGTATTTTATTGTGTACTAATTACTACATACATCCATACACCAGTCTGTTTGTATAGATTTTTAAGGTTTTGGTACTAGTGAGCGTCAATTTTTGACCATTCTTTTTGGCAAACTTTCACTATTGCTAGATATTAACTGCATGTACTGACTTAAATCACAGATTTTCAGTTAGATTTAGATTATAACTTTAAGCCATTCCAAGATTTGAAATTTCTTTTATTGAAGCGATCCCTTTGTGGATTTTCTTTGATGTTTCAGATCATCGTTTTCTTGGAAGATCCAGTAAGCTATAAAACATCTTACCAGAACGATTCAGCTTATTAATATGAGCTTTGATATAGTTGAACCCGGCTTGTTTGTGCTTTTTCATATGGCGTGTTTTTTTTTTTGTTTTTTTTTTCTAAGCAATCTGCCATGTAAGACCAACATCGTTCTGATTTCGTCGCACTATAGACATAGACACTTTCATTATGACATTTGTCAAGGAGCCTTGGAAAACCTCGCTTTACACAGCAGGATTCGTCTGGTCTTGCCAGACATAATGTCTTCTTGCAGTTATTTCTCACGGATGTACAATTCTTGATTTCGATGCCGTCATACCAAAGCCCTTCCCTTTATAAATAATGTGTCTCACGGTGGAGACGTACATTCCAAACCGTTTTGATAGCTTTTTGTAGTCTTCTCTATCATTATAGACTTCAACTATGAAATTTTTGTAAGCTTCAGGAAGTTCTTTGTTCTTAGCATATTTGATTTTTAAATGTAGTCTCTAACTGCACTTTTTTGCATAAACAATAAGTTACATTGTTTGACTGAAGTATAAACAGCTTACCAAAAATTGTAATTTTTACACAGGCACAAAAAATATTTGCACTAGCAATCATCTAAAACAAAAGTACTTATAAATACTTGTAAATGTAATAGTTCACTTTTGCACATCTTAATCTTTAATTAATATTTTATTCTAGCTTGATAAAAAATATGAAAATTATTGTAATTCGTTTAATAATGTTTTTTTTTCTTTATGAATATACTTTTTTTCTTTATGAATATACTTTTTTTCTTTATGAATATATAGTTTAATTAATATTTGTTAATTATCTGGAAAAAGAGACATTTTAAAAAAATATTATCTTATGAGTTAAGTTACTTTTGCGCATCATTGGATGTATTATCTATCTATAGTTAATATTTATATGAAAGTGTTTTGGAAAGGGTTATATTAAGTTCAGTGTATGTGCATATACATATATGTTTAATGTCTGTAGATTTCATCCCCTCACTCTCTGTTCCATATCGGTTCAATTAAAGAAAACGCTATAAATCATTAGAGAAAATAATGCTTTTTTCTTTTTTTTTTATTAAAGAGTTGAATAAGCAAAATTCTTTTCTTAAGCATGTCTACTTTCAAAGCGACAAAAATATATAACAAAACCGAAAAAACAATTTTTGCAAACTTTTTGTCATTTTCCCCGCTCTTGGCTACAATAGACTCATCAGCAAAACAGAAAAGTCGCATTTTGATCGATCTGATTCAGTGTCTATAAAAAGAATACCTGTCTGAGATTCGGCTTCTAAAGAAGTCGGCTATCCTCTTAGGGGTTACTTTCATTCATCCGACTTGCCATTTCAAACATTATAGCATCATCAAATATTGGCTATTTCATTCTATTATCCTTCTTTCTTTCTTTCATCATTTTCCCCTCTTTCTTTTTGTTCCATCGTTTCTTTCTTTGTATTTTCTTCCGTCTATCTTTCTTACTCTCATTCTTTCTTTCTTTCTTTCTTTCTTTCTTTCTTTCTTTCTTTCTTTCTTCTCTACTCTACTCTACTCTGATTTATTGGAGCGGCCCTCATTATATATACTACAAACTTCTCAGATTCACCCGCAGGTTTTATTACTCGTTCACATTCCTTCCTTCCTTCCTTCCTTCCTTCCTTCCTTCCTTCCTTCCTTCCTTCCTTCCTTCCTTCCTTCCTTCCTTTTCGTCCATTTTCTCGAATGTCTACGCCTTTCTCATATAAGTTTTTCTCGAATTTCATCTTACGTTTGTTGGTTTCTTTTTTTTTATTTCTTTCTTTCTTTTGTAAAATTATTCTTTCCCAACCTTTTTATAGATTGCTTTCTTTCTTTGTTTTATTTCTTTCTTTCTATTCTTTTTTTTCAGTAATATTACTTTTTTTTTCTCTTTTATGTTATTCTTATTTCTTTCCGTAATTGAATATTCGTTTTTCTTTTTTTTTTTTTATTACATTATTTTTCGTCTCTATTTTCGTTAATTAATTCTTGTTTGTTTGTTTGTTTCTTTTTTTCTTTTGTTACTTTAAACTTTCTTTTTCCTTTATCTTTTTTCATTGATTGATCTTTCCTTCTTTTTTTCTCCGATTTCTTTTTCGTTTCTCACTTTTCTTTTTATCATTGACATTCCCCCCTTTTGTCCTATTTCAAAGTCTTCCTTTAAAATTTCTCTCCCTATATTTCTTCTTTTTCCAATTCCATCTTGCGTTTGTTGATGTTTTCTTTTTCTTTATTTCATTCTGTCTTTTTTCTTTCTTTTCCTTTACGACAACTTTTAAAAAAAATAATTTGCATAATTTTTATATAACTTTTACGTTCCTTCTCAAATTTCATATCACCTTTCTTTCTTTCGTTCTTTCGTTCTTTCTTCCTTTCTTTCTGTATCTTGTATATATTCTTACATTCGCTTTGCTTTGCTTTTCGTTTAAAATAAAATACTCTCGGATTGTGTCTATCCTCTTTCAGCAAATTTAAACTCTTTATAACCTTTTACTTTATTCACTTACACAAAGAAGCCCATTATCTATTTCTTTATAGACAAATACGTTCGGGTGCTTAATAGATAGAATATATGAGAATGGTTGTTTGAAGATTTCTTAGAACACTGTACATCAATTCTCTATCAGTTCGTCTGAAAAAGTATATATTACTTGTAAACCAGGCTTCACCATCATGTGTTCGTAGTCGGTTCCGTTTAAAACTAAACTGTTGATGTGTAAAAACTTGAAATCGACAAAGGTGTTCAATATATAATAATAAAGTAATTCATCGAGTCTAGAAGAAACGTCAACAGAAAGCATAAAGTACGTGATGGCGATTTCTTTTTGGAACTCATCAGTAGTGCACATCGGCTACCAAGAATTGAAACCTGGACAGTTGCGATATGAGGCAAACGTCATGCCAACTGTACCAACGGGCCTCGATGATAAAGAGGTACTGAATTAGACTCGATATAGTGCCACTCGATCACATATGCTGTGGTGGAACTCATTCGAGTTTCTCTTTACCCATAGGACTGTGCCCCTACAAGCCATGACTACTATCCCCAAGCTGTTCCATCCAGAGCATTTAAAGCCGGTTCAGGCAAGGATATACAAATGATAGAAATTATGAGGAGGATTTGAAATAATCATAATTAATTCATCGAGTTCAGAAGAATCCTCAATAGAATGTAGAAATCACTGGACGGCCGTTTCGTCCTATGTTTGGGACTCGTCAGCGGTGTACATCCATTACCGAGGATTCAATATATGCCTATATATGTTCATTTATTCTTTCTTTTCTTCTTTGCCTTTTCTGCTTTTTTCCTCCCACCTCTGCTTCGCCATTTGGTTTCTTATATCTTTTCATTTTTTATTTCTCTTTGTCTCTTTTACTGTGACCTGACTTATTAAATAAGTCAATGTCTGGTCCTTAACCCACGTCCCTTTCTCTTAAGTATCTTAGTAAAAAAAAGGGTTAAAATATCTCTCCCTTCCTTCTCTAATCTCGACCATATCTGTCGTCCTCCTCCACCCCATCTCTCAATGACCATACTTTAACTTAAAACTACCCTTCAAAAGCATATAAAAATAATACGTAAATTTTAAAACCATTTTTTGTGCTTGGAAATGTGATCTAAGGAACCAGGAAGAAACCCTTTCCTTAGGAAATAAAATGGAATCAATGGACCCTTAAATTTGTTTTTTTTAATTTTTAATTAAACATATATATATATATATATATATATATATATATATATATATATATATATATATATATTATTATTATTATTATTATTATTATAATGGATACTTGATTTAATATAGACGCCCCATTTGTATTTATGAGGTACGTTCAGTAAGTTTTGAGACATAATTGGAGAGGCAATTCTAACTTTCCTCGATTATTGTAGATTTTCCATATAATTACAATACATCTATTAAATTGACTGGCCAAATTCTGTTATCCCAGATTAAATGAGACATTTGTAAAAGAACAAATTCTAATAAATATTGATTTTCACAGTTAACAAGTTTGCCGAATGCAATCAGAACATGAAGACAGTTTCAAAACTCGCCATGCCTGTGCAATATAGTTTTGTACTAAATTAGACAAAAATGCTACAGAAACGTATGAAATGCTCCAGACAGCTTCTGGATTAACATGTATGAGCCGAGTATCTGATTTTCGCTGGCTTGAGAGGTTCAAGGACGGTGGAGAGGATGTGGAGACGAGGAGAAATGTTGTTGGGAGACATTGTGAACATTGACATCAGAGCATCAGAGCTGGTTGAGAAAAATTACCCACGTGTCTCTAAAGACAATAAGCATACAGTTTGGAGCTGGTGTGGCAGCTGTAATCAGAATTATTCATGAAGATCTAAACACGCGCAGAATTTGTATAAAATTTGTTCCTGTGGCGCTCAGTGACGAATAGAAGGAAAGATGCGTTGCTGAAAACAGGGAGATGGTTGGTGGTTATAAAAACTTTAGGTCCATCCTCAAACTCAGAGAAAGTCTTTTTAAAGACACTAAGGTGATGAAGTAGGCTTCACTTTGGTTAACTTCTATGGGGTTGTCACGGAGTGACTGGAGAGCTATAACGAGTGCATGAAAGTCAGCGAATCCTATTTGAGGGAGATTAGAGTTTTGTATTACTTTGAGATTTATAAATATCCCTCCGGAAAAAGTCTAAAAAATTCTGGAATGCACCTCGTATACTTTAAACAGTATGTATTACGTCTATTGATCTGTTAATTCAGGGAAACGTAATAAGGAAAAATATGTGCTTTCCTGCAGGTATCGAACCTGCATCCTTTCTTTCCTTTACTTTTGTATCCAGAATCCACCGTTTGATACGGTGTGTATTACCAGTCGGCGATGAAGAGCGTCAAATCTCAGCAAGGCACTTTTTTCTCTTTTAAGGAAAGCACACTTTCTTATTAAGATATTTTTCTCGAAATCTCATGTCTGCTCTCGAATATGAAGGCTATATGAGAGCCTTAATACCAACAAACAAGAAAACCAAAAGCAAGAGAGAAACAGATAGAGGGAAAAAGGAAAAAGAAGGATAAACCAAAAAGAATGGACCATAAGACAGATACATACCTAAAAATTAATATCCAGTGATCGATATCTAAGTTACCAGGACAGTGGTATAAGGCTTCCCATCGTCCCTTTGTCAGAAAAAAAAACAAAATTCAGTCCGCTCCACCAGTACAATTTCAAGCGTCGAGAACCTTCTGGTCGCCTCATAATCACGGTAACGTCAAAATTTAGTATCATTCCAAATTTTCTCTCTGTCTATGTGTAGTAAAAATCAATGTATCCTTTTCATATATTATATATATATATATATATATATATATATATATATATATATATATATATATATATATATATATATATATATATATATATATATATATATATTCATACACATGTATATATATATATATATATATATATATATATATATATATATATATATAGCAGAAGAGGATCTGTTGATTTTACTACACATGTATATATATATATATATATATATATATATATATATATGCACAGCAGCAGAAAAGGATGCGTTGATTTTACTACACATACAGATATATATATATATATATATATATATATATATATATATATATATATATATGTGTGTGTGTGTGTGTGTGTGTGTGTGTGTGTTAAAATCAACGCATCCTTTTCTGCTGTGGCGTGGCATCCAATAATTGTTAATCATATCGTCTCCGTAGACTATTTCAAACTTTCAGCTTTCTAAAGAATATCAGAATTTAAACAACGGGATTTTGCCTATCACAAAGGCACCACACTGGTTCTTGAAAATGACTGAGGCTGTCTGTGTGTATATCCTACCTCTCCATTGAAGTCCTACTTATGCACCAGAGCATTCTTATATATTTACCGTTTACATTAGTTCCTGGCGTCTCTTGCTACCTGAATTTGCTTCCATTTCCTTTTTCTGTATCATTTAATGTGATACTTCCTCTTCTCCCATTTTCAGTGTTCTTGTATTCATTTGGTTCTTATTGATCTGTCAATTCCGATTTTACTTTTTTTATCTTCTTGATTTCTTTCTTCTTTTGACGATTCTTCTTTCATCTGTCTTGCTCTTGGTCTCTTTTCTAGATTTTGCCTGAAACTGCTCACAGGACGCGCTCATGTTGGAAAATCCTAAAATTCTTTAACCACAATTTCAATACGGTTCTTGTCTGGGAAAAAATAATGTTTGAAAGAATTATATCAATGCTTCTTCATTTCTACAATTATATTCCAGTATAAGATACGTTATATTTTTAGAATTTATACCTAATCATACAACGTGAAGTGCTGTAGAGATAAATAATTTTTTTTTATAAATCTTAAAAGAAATTATCCTGTCTTTCTGTTTCCAAGCAATTTCTTTTTCATTATTGGTTGTAGTTATTATCTCTTATCTTTCTTACTTATCTATATATTTGAATAAGGTATATTTAGGCAGTACGTAATAATGTATATCATATACATTTGAATGTAGTGTCTTCTGTTGCGAATTATATTTTATTTAATGCGGGTTGTTTAGTTTTGAGACATTCATTAAATTAGGTGCTGCAGACTATTCTGGTATTGTCCACTAATATTTGTCTTGTGTTGATACTTGTATTTTGGGTGGTCTTGTGAAGGTCGATATGTGCACGAATTACGCTGAGATTTGACAGGTTACGGGTCAACCTGCAGGAAAATGCGGTGCGTGTGTAACCGATGTATGGATTTAAAACTGTTTTTTTTTTTTTCGTGCGCATATAGACCAACATATCACGAAAACCGAAATAAAACTCTCACCACAGGAGAAATATTAGTGAATAATAGCATGATTCTCATAGAAAATACCAAAATACATCGACCATTGCGAGGAAAGACTCAAGACCCTAGCAGCTATTATTGTACAAAATAAACAACGCATATTAAATAAAATATAATGCACCACAGGAGACCACATCTTGAATAGTGTATGTGATATTTAATGTATATACACACACACACACACACACACACACACACACATATATATATATATATATATATATATATATATATATATATATATATATATATATAAACACACACATACGGATATATATATATATATATATATATATATATATATATATATATATATTAAAATCAATGCACCTTTTCTGCTGTGGCGTGGCACCCATTAATCGTTAAAAATATCGTCTCCCTAGACTATTTCAACCTTTCAGCTAAAATATCATTCACTACAGGAGACCGCATCTTGAATAGTGTATGAGGTATTTAATGTAGATAAATTAGATATGCGATCAAAAATAAAATTAAGTAGATGAATAAAAGAAACAGAACAAAAAGTAAAGAATAAAAACGACCTAATGCATTCACTCAAAAGAAAAGAACTAAGAAGGCCGTTTTTCATCTCCCACGTCCTGCCCTACCACGATGGCGTATAAAGAGCTT